TTTTCATTCAGTGTGGTTTCGCTTGTCAGCCGGTGACAAACAAACCTCACTCAGATCCAGAATTCTGGTGCTGTATGACTTGCATTCCTATCACAGATCAATTTATTTAACAYTTGTGTTTTCGTCTGACTTCAGCCGATATTAAACACGTATTTCTTACACTAGAATGGGCCGCCCTGGAAGCTGGACGGGGGTGGAGTGTCATACCTTGTTTGGATTTAAAGAGACAGCCTCAAAACAAGTCGATTTGAAACACTCCTCAGAAAAGGGGTGGGGCTTGTGGAGTTACAATAAGGAGGAATTCAGACCAAAGYATTGCAGTTCTACTTTATAACCARCTGAAGGATTCAATGCAAAAAAGAAAGATTTTAAATCTCCTTTMACTGAACGTGCAGGGTGTTCCTCAGGGCTCAGGTGTTGAGTCCCTTCAGGTTTCTTCATTCACTTTATTTCAGAGATGCGCCTCTGTTCACTACAGTGAACTTTGCTGTTTCCTGAAGGTAAAAACAAACTTTCTTCAATGTTTGAATTTCTCTCGTTTTTTCTTTCATAGTTTTTACTTTTAGATGTCAGGAAACTAAACTCATAAAAATGCTGTTAAATAAGTGTCACTATACTAATTTAATGCAGCGACTCATAAACTGCTGGACTATTGTTATAACAAGACAACTCTGAAGTGACTGGAAGCATATTTCTTCATTACAGCTTTATAGAAAGCTTCTTTACTAAGTATTTCAGATTAAAGAACATTTATTGCACATTATTATTAATTTTATTTGTATTGTTTTTTGTGTGAAATGTTTTGTTTGTTTTTTAATGAAATGAATAAATGAATTATATGAATTATTTTTATATTGCCTGCCACTTTTCATCCTGAAGTTTTAAACTGAAAGAGAAATTTGAGTGAAAGTGGTTCTGAACAAACCTTGAAAATAACATTAGACCCAACGCTGAGACGTGCTCGAACTGAGTCTGAGTATAAAGTAACTCATATCTGACTGAGGAGGAGACATTTTTGTGTTTTGTAATGTGATTAGCTGTGGCAGCCGTCTCAAATCAGATTAACTCCATAATTCATCAGTTTRTAGATGTAAATCCAGTTTCTTTCTGAGCTTTTCATCTTTATCTGTGTTCAGTGAGATATTTTGCAAGCAGACAAACAAAGTTGGCTCCTGTGTGTAATGCTGAATAATGTCTCACACAATGAGTAGCACATGGAGTTTGTGTTGTGAAAAACCTTTAGCTGCAACCTCATCACATTTTAGTTCAATGTCTGTCAAACTGACTGGTTTTTTTGTTTTTTTTTTGTGTGTTTAGGTCATTTAACTTTGGCTGATTGTCTAAATTAGTCTGATTTCATGTTAATCACTTGTAGATCTAAATCCAGTGTTTAGTTTATCAACTTTTTTTTAATTAAACTTTGTTAAACCACACACAGACACRGAGAACAACTTTATGACTTTATTCTTCTTGCAGCAGTTTTCTGTAGGTGAATGTTTGTATTTTTGTGTGAAACCTTTTTCAAAGCTCAGTATTGAAGGTTTGGTCCTTTATGGTCCACCAGAGGAAGTGACTGCTGTGTTTTCTTAACCTTAAGCTTCCATCCTGGCCCGGAACGTGTCCACRCGCTCCTGTCCCCCACGCACCAGCCCCCCCTCTGACATGGAGGAAGAGGAAGAGGGGAGCAATGACCGCGGGTCAGTAACCTTCCACTGCATGCAGCCTGTGTTCAGTCATTCTGCCTCGGTCTCGTCTCACCAGAGGACCATTTACAGCCATGACATGTGTGTTCTGTGCTCTAGGTCTCAGTGGCCACGTTAACCATGAGCTGGGGCTGGGGGGCTGTGGGGCTGTGGGGCTTGTGCACTGTGAGGCTGTTTGGAGAGCTGGTGCATGAGTGTGATCATGTGTGAAACTGTTTTACAGAGGGATTAAAACAGTGGGGATGAAGTTGGGGAAGAAGAAGCCACGGAGACACACTGATGTAAGTAATCATGCAGAAGACAAACAGCTTCAGCTTCGTGTTTTTGTTCCGCTGAGAGTCGGCGTCAGCCACGGCCTGGACTAGATGTCTACCTGTGGTCCGAGCCCGGCACTGTGGGGAGAAGGAGCCCCCCTGTGGATGTGTGCGTAAACCAGAGTGTGCTCTCTGCAGGACCCCAGCAAGGAGTGCTTCAGCCTGAAGTTCGACCTCAACGTGGACATCAACACAGAGATCGTCCCTGCAGTGAAAAAGAAAACACTGAGGTGGGAGGAGCCTGTAAGACACGTGGTTCCCTTCACGCTGCGACACGTATGAACTCTGTATGTTCCTGCGGTCCACAGAGAGGTTCTGGGTCCGGTKTTTGAGAGGAACGGCATTGAGCTGTCACGAGTGGACTTGTTCCTCGATCAGTCCAACACGCCGCTGTCCCTGGCCTTTGAAGCCTACCGCTTTGGAGGACACTACCTCAAGGTTAAAGGTAACGACGCTCCGCTCCTACCTCCAGCTGTTTGCAGCCAAGTGAAGAACACATTCAGAGACCACTAGTTGTTGTTTTGTGTACACGGCTTGTAAAACTGTGCTGTGGGCTCAGATGATTGCTGCCACTTCACAMGAGTGCACGTTAAATCAGGGGTTCTTAACCTTTTTGACCTCGGGGCCCAATTTGTGAACAAAAAGTGACCCGAGGCCCAGTCAGACATTAATCTTGGTTTAATTTTTATTGTATTTACATCATCTATCATAGCTAACATAACTAAATTAAATACACTTACAGTTTAAAAGTAAAACTC